CATTTTGCTTGCTTAAGTAATAAATATCTTCTCTCTTCCTGAATTTATAGTAAACTTTTTGCAGCCAGGAATTGCATTGAGTCCACTCTTTAGGGCTTAATAGATAGAGTGTGCTGCATCCTCTGGTGCTTCATAAATATTGTCGATGGCAGGGATGACATTTCGGTGGCGAATGACTGTCAAAGGAATGCTATGCAAGAGGGATTTTTATGGACAACAGCACAGTAATGGAATACGGATCTGCAATGCATCACCAAACATTGACCTAAAACTGAACAAGGCTGTGGGATTATTGACAAAACGTGGGCTGCAGACCTTACTGGCAGCAGGCAGCTCGAAATGGAAAGATGTCAAGGCCACTCAACATCTTGGCGTGGCTGAAAAAGGGTGCCACTCATTCATCAACCAGTCAGTCAATATTTACCGAGTGCCCGCAAGGGAAAAATTGGAATGCTAGATCCTGATATCTCCCAGAGAATCTGTTACATCTGTTTCGCACATTTTTGATGCTCATTAAGTGTGCATTACTGTCTACCTTTTGCAATCTGATTTATTATTATTATTGTTTTGTTTGGCCCAATGTACTTCTCTGATTGCAAGCTAGGAGAAAATTATATTCCTTTTGCAAATTTCTCAACTGTGTTTCAACTCTTTCCCTGGAGCTCAGATACTGCATGTAATTATTAAAATGGTTCACAGTAGGATAAATACTGCTTGACTTAAAAGGAACAATCCTACAAAATCAAACCAAGCACAGGATCAGAAATCCTATTATACATATTCCCGAACAGCAGTTCTGCATGTGTACATGGTTTTGTTTTCATAAATCACCCTTGGCTGGAGGTTTTAAATATGTTTTTAAAGAAATGTACACTTGAAGGAAGATAATAAGTCAGTGCAGAGTGCATGATCCGTTGGGTCATCACTCAGGAAAATCCAGGAGACGTGCACTGTGATTGAACTTGGTTTCCCAACCAAAGGGAATATTCTACCCACATGCAAATCCACTGGTGCAGAGCCGCTGCCTTCTCCTGAGTGGCAATGGCTCCTGCGTTCTAACCAGCCTCTGTGGTGGGCAGTGTGGCTGCACTGGTCAATAGCAACAAGCCCATGACTGGTCACCCCCGGTCAAGCTCTTTGGGAGTTTCCGTGTGTGCTGAAATGGGCACTTCTCAAGAACCCCTAGTCTCAAACAGAGATGGGGCATTGGATTTGGTGCCCATGCCCCGGAGAAAACACTTGAAGAGCCCATGGTGTGTCTCAATTCTGCATAGAGTCAAAAGACTCATGCTGGCTCAGCAGCAGACCCTGTGCCAGACAAGGACAAGTGCCAGGCTCCAGACTGTTGTAGCATCTGGGTAGCAGCATCCCCGAGTGCCGTGGGAGAATGCTCTTCCTCTATTCCCTGGCCCACTTTCTGACCCAGCCACAGAATCTCTTTTTTTGTTTCTCCTAGCAACCTGCCCAAACCTTTCATGCTCCACTTCTGTCATGAATCCTTCTTAGAATGTTGCCTCCTGCACCAGCCTCCAACTCTCTGACCAGTTATCCAGGCACACCCCTGCTTCCCCATCTTTGTCCAATTTATACCCTTGCCCTGGAATATACTTGCCCCTTGCCCTTAACTCTACCTTCAATTAAATCCTAGATCAATTTTCCCCAACCATTGGTGTTAAATTCTACCTCCACAACTTGCTAGCTGTGTCAACTTGCCTAAGTTACTTAACCTCTCTTTGCCTCAGTTTCCAAAATGGGGAAAAATGATAATACTTATTTCAGAGGGTCATTATGGGAATCAATTAATATATGCAAAGCACTTAGAACAGTGCCTTGAAGACAGTAATTGCTCAAGTGCATTAACTCTCCTTGTGTTACTTTAGCCTTGGCTACATTTTGTCTTGTGGTGACTATGGCTTCCGAGGGCTTCTCACACGACGTTGCAAGCTTCTCAGAAGCTTGACCACCAGAACTCACAGTTTTGTGTCACAAAACTCAAGTCCCAGTTCTGTCTATTGCCTCTTTTTAGTCCTATGCTTGTTAAGCTCACTTCTTATTATAAGACTACCAAAGATATACAAAAACAGAGAGAAATCCTATATACCCAATGCCTGACTTTAACAAGGATAAACTCATGGCCAGTTTCATGGCCTCTGTTCCCTAACCCATTCTCCTTCTTTCTGCTTCAATTCATAAATAATATTGAGGAAAATACCAGGCAAAATATCATTTCATCCCAGAGGGATTTTTTTTTTTGAGTTAAAATCTCACTCTGTCACCCAGACTGGAGTGCAGTGGCATGCTCACGGCCACCGCAGCCTCTATCTGCTGGGCTCAGGTGATCCTTTAGCTTCAGTCTTCCAAGTAACTGGAATTACAGGAATGTGCCACTGTGCCAGGCTATTATTTATTTATTTATTGTAGAGCTGAGGTTTCATCAAGTTGCCCAGGCTGTTCTTGAACCCGTGGGCTCAGGCAATCCTTTCACCTTGGCCTCCCAAAGTACTGGGATTATAGGCATGAGCCACTGTGCCCAGCCCCAGAGAGACTTTTTAATAAACATGCCCTATGCTCAGGGGAAGGATGTTGAATTCAAATCCTCCTATGTCCAGTGTCCAGCAAGGAATCAACTCCAGGATGATGCCAACTTTTCAGACCAAGGATTCTCCTGCTGTTGTGGACTTGTGCTCTGACCTACCAGCCTCCCATAATCACTTACAATAGCAATTATGTTTTGAGAGGCCATGATTTGAATGATGGTAGCAGTCAACCTTTGTAATAACAAGCTATGGTGGGTGAGGACCTTTGAAAATGACTTGATAATTGGGAAAAACCCATTTACTGGTCAAAGTGGATATTCTGTCTTGAGTCATTGGCTCCCTAAGACACAGGGATCATGCTTGCCTGAGTCACTGTGACTGTGTCTCGGGTAATTGGACACTTGGGAGTTCTCACCATTGACAATGACGAATTTTATTACCCTAAGCGCTAATTAGTCCTAATTGGAGGTTTTTAGTTGGTTTAAAATTGTACTTTGGAGAACAAGTTTGCAAATGACAATATTTAAGAGAGAAGACATTTCCTTTGTGTGTGTATGTGTGTGTGTGTGTGTGTGTGTGTGTGTGTGTGTGTGTGTGTGTGTATGTGTGTGTGTGTTAAGGAGTATTTTCACAGCACATTACATAGGAAGAGGAGATTGTGTTGAGTTTAGAAAATGAGGTTGGGGGAAGCCATTCCACTGGCTCTATTGTGCCAGGATCAACCCATTGAAGGTTGAGTTAGTATCTACTAGCTTCAGAAAGACAGCAAGTCCCTGGCCCTTGAGGTGCCCTGCTCTTTCTGACATAATGTGGACAGGCACATTATCCCTCATGCAGAAGCTAGGCCCTCTTTCACAGCCCTTCTCAGCACAGTGTTCCAGACATCCATTGCCAGTTCTGTTCCACCCCGGCTCAGGGACATTTATTTGGTAACTTCACATCCGTGTGCCTGAAAATGAATTCATTGCTAGGATCTAGGGTTAGAAGTCATGAGGGGTAAAACACACTTCATGCCAAAGGTGCTCAGACCTTTTAAATACATTCTTACTAACTGGATGGAGTTGGAGACCATCATACTCAATGATCTATCACAGAGACAAAGAACTGAATATCACATGTTCTCATTTGTAAGTGGGATCTGAACATTAATCACAATAGCAAAAGGGAGGGATCAGCAGTCATGGGACACTGGGGAGGTGGGGGACACGTGGCAACACAAAGGATACCTGGTCCTAAACCAGGGAAGTGAGGACCTGTTGGAGACCCAAACTTCACCTGCTTATGTATCTAATGCTGACTTGTACTCCACATCTCTATAACAAAGTAAAGTTATAAAAAATACTTTCTTACCCTCTAAACACACACCTCCAAGCCTGGCATGATCATTTTCAGGCTGCAGGTGATGTTGCTTGAGAATGAATTGTGCTATTGTGTTTCAGCGATGACCTTTTAAAAATGTTACACATTTGAATTTTATTGTTTTATTTATTCTTTTCTGCATTTTTTTTCACCATGAACCTGTGTGCCCTGTCTCTACCTCTGACATTCTTAGGTCAACTTGTAAACTCTAGAGACAGAGTCTAAGCTACCTGGTCCACTGAGGATCAGTCCCTGGTCATTTTCCAGACACCAGTCTTCTTGTATAAAGTAATAAAAATGATACTTAGACAGCAATGATACAAATTTGGATTTAGAAACAATTTGAAGCATGAGTCTCATCTTGGCTTTGACTTGAATTTCAATCATTTGACCAAGAAGCCATTCAATGTTTCTGAGACTGTTTCCTTATCATAAAACTGAAAATGGCTACTACTTAGGTTGCCATGAGCGGTAAGATAAATGGATAAAGTGTTGTACACTTAATATATTTTATACTATTAGTTGAAGCTCTTGTTTCCATGAACTTCACCCAAAGACATCGATAACAGGGAAGTACTAAGCTTAAAACAATTCAATATTCTTTTACTGAGCAAACCACATATCTTTATTTCTCAAATGTAATTAACCATTAAAGCAAGGTATTTATTTGAAGAAAATAAAGAAACCACATCTGCATTTTTAGTAGCACAACGAGCGGAAGGAAAATTACACCTTTGGATGGATTGTTTGGATAGTTTTGCATGGTGGGACCTTATACAAAACAACACTTCAAACCTCTGCCAATGACACTTACCCTTTTGTTGAAAGGAACTACATGAGTTATTAGTAGTTTATAGCACAAATACTTTTCAAAAACAGACACACAGACCCCATGGAGCAAAAAGGTTCTCTGCAAAAATTTCAACAGATTGAGCGAAATCAGTATGTTTTAAATCGCCTTGTGGTGGATTGAAAAAGGATTTCTTATTTCCATTTTCTTTTAGTTTTAGAAGATGAAAGTGGCCAATGATTTCTAATTCAACAGAACAAAATAATCAAAAGATAATTCTAGAGGGAAATTACAATGTTAAAAATTCCACAAATTTAGAGAAGGTAACCACTAAGAAGAAAAATCACAATATAGTTGAGTGAAGCAAGGAGCTTATTTTGCTGGTGATACTCAGGCCTTAAACAAAACAAAGCAAAATAAAAACCTCAAAACCTAAAGTCCACAAGACCCCCGCCCCCCTGAGACTCAGTTTACCTGTTAAACCAGTCATCTGTGTATCGAGGGTAAGGATAAGGGTCGTTGCTGCTGAAGTCGTAACTCGCTTCTGCATTCTGAAAAACACAAGGTATCTCATGAGGTCAATAAAGCCAGAGGCATAGCCCGGGGAAGGTGCTGCAAGACTGTCATGTGTGTAGTTCATCCCTGGAGTGCTGCATTAATGTTCTGTGCTGGTCCAGCCCTTGCAAAGCTGTGACAGAACTGAGTGCAGCCTTGGAGCTGTCTAACTTCCAGATGCTCCATCCCATCCTATTTCAGCTTTTCCATCCTATCCTATTTCAAGCCTTCAAGGGGTCAGCCAAAGGGAGCCCTGTGCTCTCCAGGGCTGTCTTCTTTTAAGCTGAGGTATCCCTTGTGGATCAATGGATTTCACTGGGAATCCAGGGCTTAGAGTGAGATTTTATTTTTTTTGAGTTGGAGTCTCACTCTGTTGCCCAGGTTGGAGTGCAGTGGAACACTCACGGCCACCTCAGTATCAACCTGCTGGGCTCTGGTAATCCTTCTGCCTCAGCCTTTCAAGTAACCGGAACTACAGGCGTGTACTACCACGTCTGGCTAATTTTTCATTTATTGTAGAGACGAAGTCTTACCAAGTTGCTGGGCCTGGTCTTGAACCCAGGGCTCAGGCAATCCACTCACCTCAGCCTCCCAGAGTGCTGGGATTAGAGGTTGAGCCACCGAGCCCGGCCTAGATTAAGCTTTCTTGATGCTTCCTTGGACTAATGGCCAGATGTTCTAGTTCTCAGGTCACAAGTGAGATGGCCTCTAGAGTTTTCTTGCTTTATTCAGTTCCCTCCTTCAGATTGCCATAAGGCTTTTTCCTTGGGGTGTTAAAACCCTGCCCAAGACCCTAATGTTGCCCACAAATGACTTCATTAATTCATTCAACTAATATCATTAAGAGTCTAAGATAGCATATCAGAGACTTTGCTAAGTACAAGAATATAATAAAAGCACCCTGCTCTTGTGTAACTTACAACCTAAGCTTAGGCAACAAACATCCATCAAACAATAAAACAAATAAATATACAATTGCCAACTGTGATAAGTATGTATCCTTATACCCTAAAGTATATGGCAAGAAGTATAAAATTCTATATAATCCAATGCCTCCATTTTTTCCATTGAGAGTCTTTCCTCATGTAAATCAATTATGTATTCTCTTAAACTGTTTTTAAGTGATGTCGTGTTTTATTTGTTTACATTGAGGTCTTCAGTTGGTAGGTATTTTATTTTGGTCTATGATGGACAATGATCCACCATCACTTGGTGAATAATTCATTCCTTCCCCATTGCCTTCCCTGCTTGTCCAGGGTGCCAATCTCTCAGAAGTTTCCCTCTCCTCCTTTCCTTTTCCTCTTCTTTGTTTTGGGATCTGAAATAAAGATCCCGATAGCTTCTTTGTTCACAGTATGCATTGGTCGAGGAGATACTGTGTTAGAAGCAGGTTCCAGCTTTGGCATTGCTCGACTGCGGGGATCCTGAGATATTTTTAGGGAATGTGATTTTTCACGAGGATCCTTCACTTCAGTTTGTGACACACTTTAGTTGGTCAACCTAACATATTAATGGCATAATGTTTTAAAGAGCAGATTGATCAATTTCATTCATTTTTGTTTTGGTATGTCAGACCAGTAGTTGTAGTCATCAGACCCGTAATACTAATTTATTTAAATAAGGGCTGCCATTGGATAAGAGTCACCCTGAGATTCTGCCCAGTCATTTTGCTTTGAGTCTTGAACATATCTATTTTTTATTTCAGAATCTTGGTCTACATTCAACTCCAGGTCTTTAGAAAGGAAGTCTTCATGTCTCCCCTGGCCCTAATTATTGGCAAGTGTTCAGTCTTTCTCATCCATTACCACTTAGATGCAAATTACTTTCATTCAATCTAAAAGTTTAATTCTGTATCTGGTCTACAATCCTTGTCCCTGGGAGACCCTCTTAGTTTGGGCATTTCTCACCCCACCCCCCTACTTTCCATGAGATATTTAGATTTCTGTTCTTTTTTGGGATTTATTTTGAAATAGCATCTAATTTGTCTTCCCCAAATATGTCCCATTGTCTCTAACCTCTGACTTTTTCAGAGACAAGAGCATTCTTTTTTTTTCCTTTTACATTCCTTTACTCTCCATCACTTATATATACATTTAGGACCACACCAATAATGTTGTAGTATTTGCTTCAATCATCACATATAATTTTGAAATAAAAAAAAATCTACTGCATTGTTCGTATTTTGCTTATCAAGATATTTATTCTTTTCTGATGTTCAGAGTTCCTCCTTGTATCATTTTCTTCTGTTTCTAGAACTGCCCTTAGCCATTGTTGTAGAATAAGTTTACTGGCAATAAATCCTCTTAGTTTTCCTTCATTTAAAAATGTTCCCTTTTTCCCCTAAAGGATATTTTTACTGGCTATGAAATTCTAGACTACAGTTCTTTCATAGCTTGTAAAATATTGTGCCATTTATTTTTGGTTGTGTCTTCGTTGTTGACAAGAGCATTCTTAAGCAGAGTAAGTGGGGGTAAGTTTAATACTTTTTCTCTTGGGCCTCAAAGATCGAAACTTAAGCAAAAGACTATTTGCTCAGTCTAGTTTGTTTCTCCATGGAAGAGATTGAGATTCCCTGACCTATGGTGAGGTGGGTAGGACATTTGTCATGAATAGCCATTATGGGGCTCTCAGAGGGACCTTGAGGGCTGTCTCCCTTCAGAACTGTACTCTTGGTATGGGATGGGGCATGGTGGAATGATCAACCTCATAGAGGTCTGGGACTCATTCCATGATAGGGGCATGGAGCCGCGGATCCATCCATGGTCCTGTGAGATGTATTAACTACAGCTCTGGTGTGGCCCCACTCTGTTCCCAAGACTTCCAGCACAGAGCAGGGCGTGGCTGCATCTTCTGTGGGAGGCAGGTTGGTGAGGACATGACACTGACAACCAACTGGCCTAGAAAGTTCTGGTGGCAAAGACAGTGAGATCCAGGGTTTAGGAGGGATTCGTGTGAATTGACCACTGAGGCCAATGGGAATGGGGTTGCCACAAAGCCAGAGTGGACCAGATGATAAAACACCAGCACCAGGACCCTGTGTCCCTCTCTGTCACGCTGTGGTAGTCTTTTGGAACTTGAAGGCACTTTGAGAGTCAGGGAGGGCGCGGGGGCAAAATCTGAGTTGACCAAGATCAAGTTTCTATGAACAGGGCAATTAGACTGGCAGAAAGAATGTCTGACCCTTTGCTGCTTGCAGCTTGAGTTATGGGCTGCACAATCCTCCCACCCAGGATTATCTTTTGGGCTCAGAATTATCATCTGGGTCTTGGATGAGTCTCTTGGTTCTGCTCCTGATTCCAGGGAAGTTGGCTCACCCTGAGATGATGGGGACAATGAGGAAGATCTGGAGAGTTCTGAGAAAGAGCTTATCACTGAGAACTCTGAGACCACTTTTGTAACAAGAAGAAAGACTATTGCCTAGGGTCCAATTTGCCTCAGAATGTTGAGATGAATGATAACTCAGAACCCCCAATTATTTTGTTGCCTTTATAATTAATTTGATGACTAATGTTTAATTCTTTGGGTAACAGTCTGCACTGAGCATTAAGGAAGGCAGACAGAAGTTATTCTTGTTTTCTGGCTAAAAATCAAATGGTTTGTAACAAGAAAGAACAATGAACAATATTTGACTGTAAAAGTATAAGCAGAATCCTTGCAAATCATTTATTGATTTGAATTATAATGCTGTCTCCCATGAAGTTATGTGTGTCCGGGAATACGTTAACCTGGGCTTGAATTATTCTAGACTTTTCTATAATTGCCATTAGCATGGACATTTGTGGTGGGGAGGAATCAGTGTTTTCCTAAATTTAACGTTCTGGCCATCCTAGGCTAAGCCAAACATTCGTTTTGCTTGGACTTCTCTAACTTTTTTCTAAAATACATCAGTCTATTTTTCTTGCTTTAGAAAATACTAGTTGTTTAAGTGAAAATAATTTAATCTTCGATGATTTAGGATCAGGATGATTCAGAGTCATCGTTAAGAACTTGAATTATCACTGTACCATCACACAGAAAGTGAGAAGGCTGGGCTGAATCCAAACTGACCTCAGGGCTTCCCTGGTAGTTATTTCTGGAAGAAACTTCTGATAACTGCTCATTTTCTCTTATTAAAATTTAATGCAGGGGTTAAAAAAACTGTCTCTGGTATTTTGTCATTCTAAGGCTTAGTTTCTGAATATTTGAATAGAGTCAGAAAGGAAGATTGGACTTGCTCTTAGCTAGAAAGTTAATAATTTTGGCATTGTTTACACCGTGTACTTTTCAAACAGATGGCCTGTATGCATGTTATGCTAAGAAAGGACAAATGAGACAAATGGCTTGTTTTCATGAAATCCTCTGGCTTGTTTCTTAGGTGCTGTACAAGCGGGTACCCACAAAAACCTGGAATTAATTTTTTTTGGAGGGTAAGCACCTTGCAGCACAGGTTTTCCCTGCTAAGTAAATATTCTAGGAACCCATCAGCATCAGTGTACCAGATAGCGTTGTTGTGCATCATGATTTGCGAAGAAACATCCAGAGTTGCAACAAACAAGTGACTGGTTCTTCCACCGTGACAACGCACCTACCCACACCATGCTGAATGCTTAGCAGTTTTTGACCAAAAACAGCAATGACCCCTATGCTCCATCCTCCCTATTCACTCAATTTCACCCTGAGCGATTTTTGTTGTTGTTTCCACAGGTGAAAAAAGTCCTCAAAGGCAAACGTTTTGCCGATGTGGAAAAGATGAAACAAAACCCGACAAAAGCATGCAAAGACATCAAAATTGACACAATCAAAAACTGTTTTAAGCAGTGGAAAAAGTATCCTGATAGGTGTATTGTATCCAACAGGGAGTACTTTGAAGGTGACTGAAGTTTAAACATGTAAGAATAAATACATTATTTAAAATAAGTAAATTCTTTTTTTTTTTCAGGGCCTCCCCTTGTATTTATGTGGCCATCAAAGGCAAAAGCAGACAAAGTACATACTTCAGATATGGTGCTCACCTATG